TTAAAAATTTTTTTTAAAGAAAACTATAAAATTAAAATCTAGATATTAAAGCTTTGGACTTTAACAGTTTCTGTTTCCTAGTATATAATACTTATAATATTTTATATATATATTGTTTTATAATAGTTTAGTTAATTAAATATCTTGTTGATATTTGTAGAATATTTTTGTAATATTTATATTTTTTAACTATCTACTGATTTTTAAAAACAATATTTGATATTAAAAAATAAAACAAATAATAACAAAAAATTAAAGCTTTAATATTATATTTTATTAAGTTTATTCAATCTATTTCATAACTCTTTCTGATGATTATTTAGACCATATTTTTCAAAAAACTTTTTATTAGAAAAAAAAACAGTATACTAAAGTAAAGTTGATAACTTGTATATAAGATGTGAGAAAAGAGATCTCTAAGTTAGCAGCTATTATTTAGAGGTAGTTCTTATATGCTACTTGCTAATAGTCTTGGAGTTTATTACTTATTAACTAAAGACACAGCACTTGTCATTAGAAGTAGTTTTCATATACTACTTGCTAACAAGTTTAGAGTTTATCACTCACCAATAAACTTAGTACTGTGCAGACTCAAGTATATAGTTGATTTTAGTAAAAGAAACTTACATTTTTTTAGTGTATCTAAGTGTTTTTTCTTTTTTTCATATTTTGTCAATCTTACTAAAATTTTTGACAAAAAAGTGGGTATTTTAACTTACCTTTTCCAAAAAATAGATATTGTTTACACTTTCTATTTTCAGACAAATAAAGTAAAACATAAACTTAGGATTGTTTTGGCAATAATAACCCTATACCATGTGACAAACTAATTGGTACTCTGGTTAACGAACCAACCTGGATTAAATATGATACTTGAAAGAAAATATTAACAATAAAGTATAGCTTTACAACAGAGATATACAAGATTTTTAAATTTAAAAATTAGTTTTATTTAAATTTAATTAGATATACAAATTTTTATAACTGTGCCTAGTATGGGCTATAATAGTGCTTTTATATATTTATTTTTTTCCTACCTTTTTCTTCTTCTTTTATTTGTCTTTTTTAATTTATTTTCTTGTTGCTTAGATATTTTTTTTCTTTCACCCTTTTGTTTTATTTGTTTTATTTTTTTTTTTGTTAGTATTAGTTTTTTTTTATAAGTCAGTTGGAGACTATAAATCTTTCTGCTTAAAAAGCTAAAAGAAGAAAATTAGGAAAGGAAGTAATCTTGATAGCCCGTAAATATCATTTAGTAATATATCGAAGAATTCATTTGCAGGGTTTTTTGATATAGAAATAAACTTTACTATAGCAAATCAAACATGGGTAATTTAAGCACTTTAGTGTTATAAAGAGCTGAGTTAGTTAATATTTGTAATTTAGGTGGACTTTAGATAACTTTAGTCAAACTTGTATTTTTACCCAAAAGTTCAAATAATCATACCTAATAAAATATTAGCAAGATTGCCAAATTGACAAAAAAAATAAAATAAAATAAAATAAATTATTTAATCTAGTTTAAAATTTTATTATTTAAAAAAAATAATTATTTTAAAATCAAATATAGATCTAAAACAATTTAAAATAGTTGTATTTTTATAAATTTATTATAAATTTTTGTATAATATAATAATTTTTTTAGTATTATATTAAACTAAATATAGAAAAATTTTAATAAAATACAAACTATTTAAAGCTAATATGTATAAAATTTTTATTAGTAAATATTAATAAAATTTTGTATAAATATTATTTTAATATTTAACTATATTTTAACAATTTAAATAAAAATTAATCAAATAATTTGCTCAAAATAATTTTTTTTGTATATACTAAATTTAGTATGTTTGGACTACGGATACCCATTAAAATTATTATTTTTTATTTAATTATATATATACTGTATATAATAAAATAAATAGTAAAAATACTGTATAATTTTTTTATTTTAAAAATCAAATTATAATCTTATACTATAACAAACTTTTAAACAAATTTGTTTAAAATTATTTATAATTTAAAAATATATAATTTATTATATATACTACATATACGTATACAGTATATATATATATATATATATAATTTTAAATATATATATATATACAATAACTATACGTACGTATAAGTTAAGTTTTTAATAATTTTATTAACCAATCGGATTTTGACAAAAATCTATGCCGCAAATATTTGACTAAGCCGACTAAGCCGATAAAATTTTATAAAATTATTAATTTAACGGGAATTACTTTTAAATGTAACACATAAGTTTACGTAAGTTACAAGATCTAAAACGAAGCGTACTGTTACGTACCGGTACTACGTATGTACATGCGTACATACGTACTGCACATTAGCCAAAAAGTAACTTTACGTAAGTTATGCAACTCAAGTTCTAAAAAAATATATAAAAGTGATTATAATGCATTAATAGTGAGTCCAAAATTTACTGAATTAATTTTTAAAGTTTCTGTGTTACATACAAGCGAAGAATTTATTGGAGTATATGCGCTGTTTAAAGAATTATCAAAGATAGGTACGTACGTACGGTAAGTAATAAACATTACACACGTCTTGTTTTCTTAAAAAGGGAAATATATTCAGGTGATTGAATTGATTATGCAACTTTATGTGTATGAACCAAGGATATCAAAAAACCATGCGACTATAAATACAAAAAGAATTGAAATTAAGTGGCAATTAACCTCGCATGATTTACAACGACCAAAGTTATCTCAAACGGTTACAAACCTTTAAAACATTTGTGAAATATGAGAAATAAAAATAAAATGAGCAAATTTAGAAATTTTAAGAAAATTAATAAAAAACTTTTAAATTAAATAATACAAAGAAGTTACAGAATGAAAGAAATCATGGTAAATATTTGAGTAGTGAGCCAATCAAATTAAGAACATTATCCGAAACTAAATATGAATAAATATGAAATTTTTTAAAAAAGCTACTATTTCGGTAATCAAGATGCATTATCTATTCTAAGAGAGATCTGAGTTAGAGAAGTACAAGAATGTTGATTTGTAATAATAAATTCATTATATGACCAATTATAACCTGTCCAGATCAAATAGAACATTCTGAAGATCCTAAATAAATAAGCTGCACGAATTGTTTATCGTTCATATCAAAAAAATCAACAACGTTAATAATAACGTAATTTAATAAACAATGGGGATAATAAATTAGATGTTTGAAAAAAAAATTTTAAGCGGAGAGCAGAAGATCAACTGTTAAAGTCCAAAAGAGAATAAGTCAATAAAGAGAAAAATAATAAGGTAATGCGAAAAAAAGAAATATTTAATCATAATATGAAAAAAAAAGCAATTTAACAATTTTAACCTACAGCATATATCGATACTCCTGCATCTAATATAAGGAAAATCAAGGATGCTTGTTTGCGATTTCGGATTAGTTTAGCTGTTAGTATTAAATCTGTAATAAATTTAACGATAATCATTAAAATCATTAATTAGCTTTTTTCAATTCCACCTTTGGAAAAAATGATATAAAAATAACGGTAGTACGTACGTACGTATTCAATGTGCATTTTCTATCTTTACTATCTTTACTATCACTGTCGAAAAAAAGAATTGCATAAGTTGCACAAAAAAATAAAAATACCTAAATTTTAACCGATGTACTACGTTTATATTTTAGCCGAATGTAATACATTCTAATCTAATTGAATGCACGATGTACATGTACGTGCATACCTGTGACTTCTAATCCCCGACATATATTTTTTTAGATGGTATGAATGATGTAAGAAAGAAACCATAACAATACAGCAATAATTCATAATATTTTTTCGATTGTCTTTTAAAAAATACCGTATGCGAGCGCAATTCGCTCGTTAATTTTTTTAATATGATAAAAATTTTTCCTAGACATTTAAATAATTTTTTTGTCATTGTTAATAACGCAATAATAATCACATGAACATATCAAACATGCATTATACTGTTGTTATATGCATATTTATATGCATGAGCGGTGCATAATCTTATCAACATAATCTCCGGCCAATAATCTAGCCGTATTTTATCTAAAATGATCTCACTAGCTGTTTGAAATGATGTAGAAACTGATCTAGCAAAGATAAGGTTTCCAATTTTGGTAAAAGGCTTTCTTTTTGTACCCAATAAAATATGATTTTATAGATCTTATCTTTTTCGTATCTCTTTAAACAGAAATCTGCATTGTGAAAATTTTATTTTAATGTTTATATAAAAAAAAAAATTTTTTTTATTTATATATAAATCATTTAATCATTCATTCCTCTTATGCCATTTCGTTTCCGGGAGAGAGAATTTTTTTTTTTTTCCTGCAAGAATAAACAAATAGATATATACATATATATATATATCATTATAAGTTATTATTTGGTGACCGTTAGAATAATAAATTTTCTAACCTTGAAATATTAACGATAAAGACGGGTGTGTAAACCCATGAAACGAAAACTCTCTGGGAACTTGGAACAGTATTTTTTATAATACAATCGGCTAAACTCCGCTCTTAATCAATATTAGTAAGTTGAAAAATAATCATTATATATGATGTCATGAACTTGTATATAAAAGACAAGTTTATGACATATCATTTTTTTTTAAAAATTTATATAAATCAGAAAAATTTATGTAATTTCCGTTTTTTTTATTTTTTTATTTTTTTTTTATTTTTAAAGCGTAAGAGCATAAAGTAATTATCTTGCAATAGAAAAAAAAATATTACACGATATCGTCAAGATTGATATCAGATAGAACTGGTTTTATTTGAAAACGACGATTAAAAAAAAACAAATTTTTTTTAAAGGATAAATTAAGACACTTTATTCATCCCACGGTTTATTTTACATAAATTATAAAATACGTGGGTATTTTTTTTATCGAGTGGAAGAAAATCTTAATATTTGCATAACAAGACATTTTTTTTTTTTAATTACTATTACTGTTATTATATAACTGTTTTTTAAACTTATAATGAGTCATTGGCAACAAACTTTTAATTCTCAGTTTGTTGACTCTTTTGACCGACCTTGTTATGATTTGGAAATTTTAAATAGTACTTCTTTTAAATTTGCTCGACCGGAAACGCCAATTAATTCTCATACTTCCGCTAAAATTTCTGCTAGAGAAAAATTAAGAAATTTGTTACCTCTTATTAACACTGATACCTCTCGATCTTCTACTCGCGATAGACAATTACCGAAAGATCATTTGACTCATTCTCAAAATTATCAAAATTACCTTTTGGATACCACTCGTCCTACTGAACGCTCCATAAAATTTATCGCTGACTCTGACCATGATTTATCTAATAAAAATGATAAATCTGATCAGAGAAAATCTATTTCGAAAGGCTTAAAATCTCGTCGTCGTGCTACTATTCCTTCTCGTGGAATGTCTTTTCCTGTTACTAGTTCTACTTCCTTCAATTACGATCAAATCTATAATAATCAAAATATCTCGGTTTTATCGAATGATCCAATTGCTGGAAATTCCTCCGATATGACTTCATTTACCTCTCCTTGTGATCCTCCTCCTTTATCTCCTTGTTCTTCAACTTCGTCTATTAGCTCTTCCATTGGTACTCCAACTCCCGCTCAATCAATTCAAAGTCACAGGTATTCTACTGGAAAACAAATTCCAAGTTCTTCGCAACATTATAATTTACAATTTCCTTCCTTCGGTTCATCTGTTTCTCAATTGGAGTCCTCCCCCCTTGCTATAAGACCTAAATTAAACGTTATTACAGAAAATCCTTATCAGAATGAAACTCGTTTCCTTTCTTTACCTGATATGGTTAATGCTTCTTCTTATGAAAATCTTCCTTGGTCTCCTGCTGTTAACTTTTTGGCTAATTTGGCTCAAGCTACTATTTCTAAACCAAATCCTGATGATGAAGGTCAACAAATTGGTGATTATATTATCGGTAAAGTAATTGGTAGAGGTGGTTTCTCTACTGTAAAAGAAGCTATTAGAATGGGAATGAATGATTATTCCGGTATGGAAAAAGTCGCTGTTAAGATCATACAAAAAAATCAAGATTCTGATTACAATGACCGTATTCAGGTAAATAATTAATATAATTAATTATATTAGATATATTAGTTATATTTAGATAATATTATATTATATGTATTAGATTAGATACACAACATATATATATATATATATATATATATATATGTATTCAATATATTTCTAACATAATATATAATTAATAGGCTCTCCTCGAAAGAGAAATTTGTATTTGGAAAGCACTTGATCATCCAAATATAGTTCAAATGGTTAGTTCCCAAGAGGATGATTATGCTACTTATGTATTTTCCGAATATTGTCCTGGTGGCACTCTTTTAGACTATGTAAAGAAAAATAGTAAGGGTGAAGGTAAAGGATTGGATGAAGATGAAGCCCGTAATATATTTTTAGAAATTGCTGAAGCTGTAAGATATCTACATGATGATATGAGACTGGTTCATAAAGATATCAAATTAGATAATATTTTATTAGATAAAGATGATACTTGGAAGTTATGTGACTTTGGTTTAACTGAATTCCAAAATGATGCGAATGGTTTCGCAAACCTCCCTTCATGTGATGAAGAAGCTGGTGGTTCTCTTGCTTATTGTGCTCCTGAACAAGCTCGCAGTAAAATTCCCCTAAAGGATCCTGCTGCTGATATATGGAGCTTAGGTGTTGTACTATATGCCCTGGTGGTAAACCATTTACCTTTTATGGATGATTTCGCTCCACGTCTCCAACTTAAAATCTTGAATGGACGTTATGATGAATCAGCTCTTATAACTGCTGGTATTAGTGATGATTTACGAGATTTGTTGAAATTAATATTTAAAACAAATCCTGCTCAAAGATTAACAATCAGTCAAGTTCTGGAGCATCGATGGTGCGTGCAGTAATATGCTTGATTATATATACATATGCTTTCCTTTTGGGTATTGGAAACTTTGCATATTTTTTGTTATTATTATAATAAAAAAAAAACAAAAAAAAAAACAACAATTTTACACTCAATGTAATATTATCACATCTTTATTAATGCTGTATATCTTTTTATATAATTATATATATATTATACTATATGGACATTTATCTTACGCGTTACTTTTTTTAATCGCTTATTCTCTCCCTTTCATTTGTATAAATTTACATTTCCCTTTATCCCCTTTGTATTATTGTTTTTTTCCTTTATTCATGTTTTTGGTGGAGTTAGATGTATGTACGAACGAACGAACGTAGTAGGATGGGTTACAAATATACACGTTATATTTTTCCAATACCTCATATGGTACTCAAATATCTAAATGAGATTGATTTCTCAAAATGTCTTTATTTTTAGAATTTAATAAATTGTGGGTTTAAGATATTCATAAACAAATATTGTATATATTTTTTTCAAGTTATAAAAATATAGTAATTGATTAAGGTAGTGCAAAAATCAATCGAAATTAAAATCATTTACTTGATGTAAATGAAAATAGTGATCGATCATAAAAAATATTAATGATCGTCTATCGTATGAGCTGTACTATCTTTGGATAAAAATGTTTATTTACTTGCTTTTGATTTACTATATCATGATTCACGGTTCTTTTGTTGATATACAAGTTTATAAATCCTCCACAATATGTTGGTTCATATATGGGTGCCGTCAAGGGAAAACCTACAATCGGGCTTTCAAATATAATTTGTGTACAGTTGTTTATCTGTGTGTCGTCTATGGTAAATCTATGTCCGATGATAGATTTACATAGACAGCACACAGGTAACCAACTGTACACAAAATATACTTGAAAGCCCGATTGTAGGTTTTCCCTTGACGGCACCCATATAATAATAAAGAGGCTCATATAACATTATCTTTTGTTAATAAGTTATCACGAACGGAATGTTCAAATATGGTTTTCTTAAAATTGTTTAATTATCTATTATTTATCATCGTTTTAATTATCTATGAAGATTGATGTGCTCTCTAGGCCGTTACTTTTTCCGTAGCTTATCATATTTTAATTGTTTTCCAAAATTTACTTATCGTTATGTAAAACACTATGTTTAATGCCGATTATCTTGTTCTACGTATAAGTATTATTATATTGGAATTTTCATTGTCTAAAGTTATAATTGCTATATAAATATTTTTAAAATAGTATTAAGGAGTGTTATTAATTTTTTTTTTAATTAAAAAAATTTTATCATTAATGGCTATCCGTTTTCTGTACTAAATTTAGTACAATATACTTAGTTTTAGAAAGTAAATTTTAAAAAATTTTTATTATTAACTTGAAATTAAATTATTTAATATATAATTCTTTATTTATATTTTAAATTAATATATTTAAAAGTTAGTTAACAAAAGTTATACAGTATTAACAAGCTTAAAATTTTAAGATCAATTTGAAGTTAATTTTTTTTTATAATTAAAAATTTTAAAAGTTTTACAAAAATGCAAATAAAAATTTTTTTATTTAATTGAGCTTCTTTGATATTTTAATATGTTATAAAGCTAATTTTTTTTTATTCTAATAATAGTAAAATTATCAAATTTGAATTAGTAGATAAAAGTTATAAAGAATTTAATTTTAGTTATTTTTTATATGGTGCCGGAAGCCTATATTTGACAATCACGTGATTTGTTCAATTTTTCAAACTGCTAAAACTTTTTATACAAGAGGTTTTTCAAAAAACTAGCCAGTGATTTTATAAAGCTATATATGCTCTATAAAATTACTGGTGTTTTTTGAAAAACCTTTTGTATAAAAAGATTTAGCAATTTGAAAATATTAAGATTTATATATAAAATAAACTTTAAAATGCTAAAACTTTTTACAAAAATATTATTTTAAAAATCTAACTGGTAACTTTGTAGAACTCATCATGAAGAACAAAGTTACTAGTTAGATTTTTAAAATACCGTATTTTTCCAACATGTAGACCCCCCATGCAATGTACCTTGTAACGATTTTGACAGCCAATTTTTGACTTATACCTGAGTACCTAAGTATGATGCTATCATGCTTCTGTACTTGGGAAAACATAATAAAACATATTCATATCTATACAATATATCCCCCCACATGTATACCCGGGATACTAAAACAGGTTAGGGAAATACCCTGGGTACATATGTTGGGAAAATACGGTAATGTTTTCATAAAAATTTTGGCATTTTAAAGTTTATTTTATATATAATCTTAATATTTTCAAATTGCTAAAACTTTTTATACAAGATATTTTTTAAAAAACTAATTGGTAATTTTATAGAGTATATACAAAAATATAAATTTTAACTCTTTTTGATGATTATTTGGACCACAATTTCTAAAAAACTTTTTACTAGAAAAAAATACAGTATACTAAAGTAAAGTCGATGACTTCTCACATAAGATATAGGAAAAGGAACTATAAGTCAGCAGCTGTTATTTAGAGGTAGTTCTTATATGCTACCTGCTAACAGTTTCAGAGTTTATCACTTACTAACTGCAGGCACGGCACTTGTCATTTAGAAGTAGTTCTTATACGCTACTTGCCAACAAGTTCAGAGTCTATTACTTACCAAAAAGACTTAGTACTGTGCAGGCTCTAGTGGATAGTTGATTCTAGTAAAAGAAAACCTATATTCTTTTAGTGGTTTCAAGTGGTTTCCCTCTCTCTTGTATTTTGCTGACCTTACCAAAAATTTTAACAAAAAGTAGGCATTCCAGCTTACCCCCTCCAAAAGATCGGCATTGTTTACACTTACCTAATTCAGACGAACTCAGTAGAATATAACCATGTGTTTGTTTTGTTTATTACTACGGTGCTATGGTACAGGAATGAGATTGATAATCCCTATTTAGGTGATACCTGATTTTGGTGACATGTCCGGAATGAGTCCCAACGATAAAGCGAAGCTTTATAGCCAAGATATATTAATTAGTTGCAATTAGTATATAATTTTTACCTTTATATCTGGCATGGGTTATAATAGTGTATTTTTCTTCTTTTTGTTTCTTTTGTTTGTTTTTTTTTAAAGTGGTTCATCAGAATGCCTATGTCTTTTTTTCTGCTTTTTTCATTTTGTTCCTATTATAATAGAACTATATTTAAGACCTCTTTTTTTTTAGTTAAATATTTTTTTTCTTTTTTTTTTGTTTTTCTCTTTTTTTTCCTAGATAGTTTTGTTTTCTTTCATATATTTTTTCTTCCCTTATAAAAAAGTAAGTGATAAACTATTCTGCTCGGATCTAGGTGGAAAAAGTTTAAAAAGAAGGATAGGTAGTCTTGACGAGCCGGTGGGAACCTTTCAGTGAAGATTTATTCTTTGCAAGTGCAGTAAAGAATATTTTAGAGAAGAATCCTGCCTATAGCAAATCGTACATGGGTAATTTGGACTCTAGTCACAATGAGCCAGGTGAGCTAATAGTTGTAATTTAGGTGGCATTAGGGTTTATACTCTATGAAAATTTTAATATTTCACAATATAATATTATAAAGCCTAATAAAATAGAGGCAAGACTGCTGAACTGTTAAAAAAAATTTTATAGAGTATATATAGCTTTATAAAATTACTAGCCAGTTTTTTAAAAAACCTCTTGTATAAAAGTTTTAGCAGTTTGAAAAATTGAAACAAATCATATAATTGTCAAGTATAGGCTTCTAGCACTATAAGATTATAATTAATTTTCATCTTAAATAAGATTATCTGTCTAATATTATATAATTTTTTATTTATTTATATATCATAACAAATAATTTATTTATTTTATATATTTATTATTATTAATAAGATTAGGGTCTTGCAGCTAGAGTTGTGGGTATGGAAAATTTTTTAGGCATGCCTCAGGCTAAGGCATGCCTTTCTTATTGTGTTTAGAGCATGTCCTTATACATATACCAGGTAAATAAAAAGTCTTTAGAGAACCTTTTTGCTAATCACTAAATAATGTATTTTAGTTGTTATTTAATTATGCTAATAAATATATACAAGTGTAAAAAATTTATAACATTAGCAAAGATAATAAAAAGATTCTATTAAGAACTTTTTACTCACACTCATATACTATATTACTACTGTATTATTATTATAACTAATAAAATATTCGCTAGTGAGTAAAATAGATAGCCAATTAGTGCACTCTAATTCATTTATTATCACATGATAAGGGCATGTCTTTTGGTTTAAGGACATGCATCTAGGCATGCCTAGAGGGCATGTCTCTAAGGCATGCTCTGAGTTACCATGCCTACAACCCTACTTGTAGCCTAGTGGTTTAGACACCTAACTATTTACAGACAAGGTCAATGGTTTGATTACAGCTAGTGGTAATTAATTTAATTAATTATTTTTGTAATTTTTGGAAACTTTTGAATACGAAACCTTGTGATAGTAAGACTATGTAATATATATATTTGGTTGATAAAAAATTTTTGAAAGAAGATCCAAGTTATGAAAAAGATGGGTACTATATATAATATAGATTATGAATAGTAATACTGCAAAAGGCTATACATATAAATCTCAAAAAGGTAGCTTTTAAGTAGTACCAATATCTGGTAACAGACTTGATTAGGAAAATAGCATAAAGTGGTATATTCAGAAGTAGTAAGAGAAGCAGTAAATACAGTAAGATGCTGTATTAAGAGAATAGTTTTACCAAATATAAAACACCTTTGGTACAAAAAAACAAGAAAAACCGGCTAAAAGAAACTCCAAAAAGCATAAAAGCAAGTGCTTTAATAATATAAAAATAAAGATGGCTAGTAAGTAATATATCACACAACCTATATGAAAGTCAATGATAAAATATGGCAGAAGCATGGGTCTTGGGTTACTAGCTTGTTAATAATAAAATATGGCAGAAGCATGGGTCTTGGGTTACTAGCTTGTAACAATAATTAAATAAGATATTTAATTTCTGTT